TAGCGTCCACCCCGATAAACAAGACAAAAACAGATTGTTTCCCTTTTTTTTTTAAATTGTAAAAAAATTCTTGTAAGTAACTCCAATATCATCTGCATTCACGAAATATGCATAACTCCCTGATTTTTGGTAATTTTCAATTCTGGGATCGTAGTTGTTGCAAACAAATTTGGATATAAAATTTATTATTTCAAAAGAGTAACAGAAATTTAATTAAAAAAAAATACAAACTTAAATTTAAAATTTATAATTTCAAAAATGTACCAGAAATTTAATTAAAAAAACTACAAACTTTGATTTAAAATTTATAATTTCAAAAGAGTACCAGAAATGTAATTAAAAAAAATTCAAACAAACTTTGATTTAAAATTTATAATTTCTTGGGGTGAATTAATATTTGTGATAAGTAACTGCCAAAATCTGACCAAATGACAAAACATCAGATATATTTTGGGCTGAATTAACAGAATGCAGGGTATTTACAAAAGCCCCCCACGTCGCTATCGAATGTAAGACAAGGTCAAGGTTTAAAGTGGGTTAAAGGCAAAAACGTGGACAAATTTCCCAAGAAAATACTTGCAAGTAATAAATATTTGATCAATAAATTAAAAAGTGCAGTTGATTTTGTCAATATTTTAATGTTTATTGTTCTGAATATCATAGAATACAAGAAGGTGATGAAAAATTCTTTACCTGACCCGTCCTGGGTATGACGATAAACTACATACGCGTCCTGGGTAAGACGATAAACTATGTCCAACAGCAAGGCCTCTGATCAGGGGGTGTTGATGAGCGTGGAACCATCTCAGCTGCTGATTTTCCCAGACCCGGAGTGATAGAATCTATAAAAGTCCCAGCTATGGGCAAATAGTTAACCACCAAACTGGGGTCCATACACTATGAAAGTGTAAAAATAAGTTTTAATGCCAGAAATACTTTGTTAAAAAAAAAAAAAAAATATTACCAGCAATACATTTTTGAAAAACAAATATTAGTAGCAATACATTTTTTGAAAAAAAAAAATATTACCAGGGAAGGTAAAATCTTACCAGAAATAGATTTTTGGAAAAAAATATTATTAACAATGAACATTTTGTCGGCACTAGCCCATTGAGGTTGATATACCGTAAAACAAAACAAAACCAAATCTTTGTCTGACTCATTTCCCAAAATCTGACCAAATGACAAAACATCAGATATTTTTTGGAAGGCTTCCTGTTCAGACCGAGTATTTTTCAGCATCTTGTTAAATAAACAAACGTAGTAGATTTCTTTTAAAAATACTGTTATTATTATTTTTTATTTCTGATCTGTTTTAGTTGAAAATATTTTACCAATTTTGAACTTAAAGCATCTTTGAATACAAATTTTTTAAAACTGTAATGTAAAATCAGTCTAATCCAATTGATTTAATTACCTGCATTCAGGGCCGTTGCAAATAACTCACTCTCTCCCAAATCTATGATAAGGGACTCCACCCTGTAAAATTCCATTTTCATAAGGCTGTATTCATATAAAATACAAATTTTATTGTAACCTATTTATATACAATAATGAATCATAGGAAATCTAGGTGTACGATTCAACAATGTATCTAAATAAAAAAAATAGAGACATGTCATAATAGATCATTCCAGCTTAAATAAATCAACAATGTCTTGCGGTAGTTTTTAACATCAACCTTAGATTTTTCTTCATAAAAAGCTGAATAGTTTGAAGACATTCGACATTATGGATGAAAAATAGTGAATTTTATTTAGTGTCTTTTCAAGACTTAGCATGAGCAAAACAAATTCAGGGATTTGGACGGAAAAAAAAAAATAAAGACCACAGAATGACGTCAAAATCCGGGAAAATTTTTCATCCTTTAATAATCAGTTGTGCTGAGTTTAATTTGTAATGTATGTAAAGGAAGATTAAAAAAAATCACACGAAAACTACATGTCCATACTTGAGTGGGTATGATTGTCCGTTGGGATGACCTATAAAATTCTTTCCTTTTGTCATATACAGAAAAAACTTTGCCCTTAAACAATGCTAACTTATATAAAAAAAAATTAAACAAAGATAAAAACGAACAGAATCTCTCTCTCTCTCTCTCTCTCTCTCTCATTCTGACCACTATCTATCTATCTATCTATCTATCTATCTATCTATCTATCTATCTATCTATCTATCTCATTTTGACCAGTATCTATCTATCTATCTATCTATCTATCTATCTATCTATCTATCTATCTCATTTTGACCAGTATCTATCTATCTATCTATCTATCTATCTATCTATCTATCTATCTATCTCATCTCTGACCATTATCTCTCTCTTTCTCTCTATCTCATTCTGACCAGTATCTATCTATCTATCTATCTATCTATCTATCTATCTATCTATCTATCTATCTATCTATCTCATTCTGAGCAGTATCTATCTATCTATCTATCTATCTATCTATCTATCTATCTATCTATCTATCTAAAAATAATGTCGCCGTGTGTGTAAATACCTGAACGTCAACGCCGTACTGGCATCCACAGATAAGTGAGTGTGTCCTCAGAGAGCGTGTGAAAGCGTGTGTCCTTGATCCATCCGTCACAATTTGACAAAACAAATTCGTGGAAAGTGGAGGGAGGGGGAGTCAAATCCAGAAAGTGTAAATTCGCGTTCAGACCAGCGAAAGAAAGAGAAAGGTGAGGGAGAGAGAGAGAGAGAGAGAGAGAGAGAGAGAGAGAGAGAGAGAGAGAGAGAGAGAGAGAGGGGGGTATCGGCGGTCTGACTTGAAAAAGACAGAACCAATGGTGAGGTCAGTCAGTATTCCCTTACCCACGCTAATGTGAAACATTTTCTATTGATCGTTAAAATCATTGATTTTGTTCAATAGAACCTTTTTTTCTTCTACTGGACGGAAGCCGAGCATCTGACACCATCTTTGTCATATGTACCGATTAATGAATTATTAATATCTTTTGCTCGTGATCAGACAGGCTTACGGCCGTATCACATTCAAACAACAGTTCCCGTTCGATAGCAAAAGTTAAGCCAGTAACTAGATGGGTGATCGCTTGAGAATACTAGGTTCTTTAAGCTTGTGTATAATAGATAATGGCTCGGAATTGTTAATCAGAGATCCGTGTTCGAATTCATGTTGGGTTCGTTATATTCACTTACGCACATATACCCTTTGGAAAGCTATGAATCCACCTCATCTCCCCCCATCTATGGGTTAATTAGAATAATTTGTCAGTAAAAAATCTAACACAAAAGAAAATATCGGTAAATATTTTCTGGGTTTAAACAACCTGAAAAAGGTTGATATCTATGCTCTTGGTTCGATCAAGAACACAGTTCCTTAAGGGGCATTTGAACTTGTACGGACACAAGAAAAATTAAATAAAAAGCTTAATTGCAGTACGTTGTCAGCCGCCTTTAACGAAACATATGTGTGTGTGTTCTGTTTTTTTTTTTTTTTAAATTTATGTACAAATAAAATATATCTGTAAAAAAGTATGAATAAAGACAAAAGGATACATTTTTATTTACCAACGCGTTTCGTCCCCTGTGGGAGTTTATCACATTTACTTTGGTAAAGTTCCTCAGCGTCTTCATATATAATGGTATAGCACGGTTCCGTGTAAGATACAGGTTCGATTCTTGTCGGAGGACACATATTTTCTATGAAATTTCTCGGACATTCAGGTCGGTAAATGTACTTAATACTGTTTATTATAAACAAAACATTTATTGAATAAATTGTATCTAAAAGATAACGTATAAATAATAATAATAATAATATATATATATATATATATATATATATATATATATATATATACACAGTGACACGCATAAGTATTGGATACATGTTATTTTCTGTTATAACTCTAGTTTATGTTCGCCATTTTGCCTGATATTTGGTAAGTAATATCTCGTAAAGTTGTTTTAGTTGTACGTGAAAGGAAAATTAAAAACTCATGGTTGAATCCATTTTTTTTTATCAAAGTTCAAAATTACCCTATGCAAAAGTATAGGATACATCAATTTAATATTTTGTTGCGTAGCCTCTGTTTTGTTTCACTGCTTCCAGTCGCTTTTTATAGTTGGCTACAAGTTTTCCACACTGATCCACCGTTACTTTACCCCATTCTTCCTTGCATAATTTCTCTAATTGCTTGATATTTGTGGATTCTGCTTATGAACTTTAACCTTCAAAGTATTCCACAAATTCTCAATTGTATTCGAGTCAGGAGACTGACTTGGCCAATTGAGAGAACTAATACCATTATTTTCAAACCATTCCTTTGTAAGTTTTGCGGTATGTTTCGGATCATTGTCGTGTTGAAGCACGAAATTCCTACCATGTCCTAAAGAAGTTGCAGATTTCTGAAGGTTCTTCTCTAGAATCTCCCTGTACATGCTACCATTCATTCTACCATGGATAACTTGTAACTCACCAGTGCCCTTGGATGAAAAGCATCCCCATATCATAATGGAAGCACCCCCAAACTTAACTGTGGGGATGGTATTGTGCTTGTTGAAGGCAGTGACATTTTTTCGCCAAACACTTGTCGCTGTGTTCCTTCCGAATAGTTCAACTTTCGTTTCATTCGACCAGATTACCTTTTCCCAAAACTGCACACCTTTCTTTTCATTATTTTAGACAAACTTCAATCGGTCTTTGACATGTTTGGTTTTCAGTAAAGGCATTTTTCTTGGTGATCTTGAATGAAAGCCTGTACGATATAGAGCTCTGCTAATGATATCCTTACTTATATTAATTCCAGCACCCTCAAGATCAGTTTTAATTTCAGAACGAGTAATGAAGGGGTTTTTTTTTTATCATTTCTGCTGATCCACCTTGAAGTACTCTCATTTATTTTTCTCGGTCTTCCATTTCTTGGAAGGTTTGCTGTACCGTCGCCATACTTCTTATACTTTCTGATGATATTTCCTACTGTACTTAGTGCTAGATTCATTTCTTTGATAATTTTTCGGTAACTTTGTTCTCCTTTGTGACGTTCAATTATTCTATCTCGCATATCTCTGGATAATTCTTTAGTTTTTGCAATTTTTAATCCTTGAATTGCAAAATGCACATCAAAGAGTCAGATGATTAGTAGCACTATCTTGTAAACAATTGTGTGCTTCTCTGATTTGTCAGAGATAAAATTCCAATACTATCGAAAATTTGAATATTTAAAGTCTTTTAAAATACAAAGTTTCGATTGGAAATTTGAAAAAGTGTCATGTATCCATTACTTTTGCCTAGGGTAATTTTGAACTTTGATAAAAAAAAATGAGTTGAGCAGTTAGAGGAATTATGCAACCATGAGTTTTGAATTTTCCTTCCACATACAACTAAAACAACTTTACAAGATATTACCAAATATCAGGCAAAATGGCGGACATAAACTAGAGTTATAACAGAAAATAACATGTATCCAATATTTATGCGTGTCACTGTATATATTGTTATGGGTAAATAGCAGGACAGACTGGGTTCTATAGTCTTGGATGACAACTGGTCTAGGAGAAGGAAAAATCTGAATTCAAAACCTGCGGAGGGTCATTTGAGGACCTTGTGGCAGGTCTTCAAAAAGTGTTGGTTCTGCACAAAGTCTTCACCTCTATAATCAAATCAAATGTACTGGTGTCTGGCTGTCTGTTCCTAGGAATTGAGCTGCTTGACCCTCATACGTCGAATACGGCAGGAGAGTTCACTATATATATATATATATATATATATATATATGTGTGTGTGTGTGTGTGTGTGTGTGTGTGTGTGTGTCTGTGTCTGTGTCTGTTTCTGTGTGTGTGTGTGTGTGTATACAGTATAAAATATTGTTTTAAGGTAAGCTGTTTATGGGTAAATATAGCCAATGCTTATTATATATATGAAAATGTACGTTATGAAGATGTTACAGATGAAGATGTTTATTATATATATGAAGATGTGCAGTATGGGTACCTTGAAAGATGAGCATGACATGATGAAAAAATGCCTCAAACTTAATAAAAATTAACTTTTATCGTCCAAAAAGGAAAGCCCAAAGGATTTTTCGACGATTAAATAATATTTTTTTAACCTTTTTAGAACGTTCGAAATTTTGCTAAAAAATCTTGTTTTTCTTGCGTTAGTGGGTGACTGAAGATTAGTATAGGAAATTTTATCGTCTTTTTTTGTGGTGAAGAACATACCGATTCGGAAATTCTTGTAAAAATCAAATATCAGTCGAATTTTAATGAAACTTTCAGGACTTATTCATAAATCAATGCAATTATTTTAGAAATATTTTGTTTTTAGAAAATCTTGGGAAAAATATTTGTTTTACACCTGTTACCCCCACTTATTTAATTTTACGAAATTTCGAGAAATTTATGTACCTCTTAATGTTTATATTAATTATAAGCAAAACCCCTTAGAGAATTTAAATAATCAATATTTTTTTTGTAAAACGGGACCCCAGTTACCGAAAATCTGCTCTGAACCGTAAAATAAAAATGCAATGAAACTAAGACATTATTTAATTAGAAAAGCTTTTAATTGCTTTTATGAATAAGATACATTATTGACACAATTGTCTTAAGAGAAAACCTTTCAATGAATAATGAATTTTTACAAGAAATGTTTTCATTTTCTTAAAATTTAATTAGAAGTATTTATAAAATTTTAAATCGTTTAAATGTTTGAATTAATTTGTACCTCTTAGGTGGCATTTTTATTATTTTAATTTACATTTACTTATCATAAATTGAAATGCTTACTACAATTCAGCAAACCCCAATATTTTGAAAAGAATTTTGATTTTTTTTTTTGTGTGTATAAACTAGTCGTTTTTTTTAAAATACTGACGTTCATACATGACATTATCAGAAACTATGAACAACAACTATGCTAAATTTAAAACCAAATTATCTAAGACGTAAAAAAAAATTAGACTACGGAGAATATTTTGCTAAAGTTTTAAGATTACTAGGTTGTTAAAAAGTATATAAAAATTGCGCTCACGTTATATTCGTCATATATTTTTTACAGATATGTACGCAAAAATTAGATAAACTTCCATCTGTCATTCAAGCTGTGAACACTTTAAATAAATACTTACGGCTGTGTTAAAAATGCATTTCTGCAATATTTTACATTAAAACTAATTATCTCTTTCAAATCAAAATAATTAAACTTGAAATCAGCTAATATTCCTCAAATAAAGTTTCAGAAAAGTAGATTTTATTTTTGAAAGATTTTTAATAAAGAGAATTGCATTGTGATGACAGACGGCTACAAATGGCGTTAAAATCAGCGATTTCAAAACGCAAACTCTTTTCTTTTTGTCATAACATTTCTCATTTCTCACTTTTTTTTAACCATTTATAATAATTTACTCTTATTTAAAGTTTTGCATCCATTTTAAGTAATTACCATCTGTCACCTCAATCTTTTGAACTATCGCACACACACACACACACACACATATATATATATATCCACACTCAGTCGCGCGTGC